AGGTCCGCAAGATACCCCAAAGAGGCCTCCAAGACGGCCCAAGAGGCCCCCAAGAGGACCCCCAGAAAGCCCGAAGAGGCCAATATCACTGATGTTCCTGGGTTTTTCAAGGATTGTTGCACTTGTTTCTTTTTTACCTTCCGACGGCCCGAGACGGCCCAAGAGCCCCAAAAGATCGCCCCAAGATCGCCCAAGAGACCTCCAAGGTGGCTCCAGAACGGCCCAAGAGGCCCCAAGCAAAGCCCCAAGAGAGCCCCAAGACGGCCCCAAAGCCTTCAAGGCGCCCAAGATGGCTTCCAAAACGCTCCTGGAGCACCCCAAGAGGGCCCCAAGTCGGCCCGGAGAGGCCCTGAAGACGGCTCCCGACGGCGTCAGACGGGCCAGGAACGCCCTAAGACGGGCAAATATTTAGGCCCCCGTGATGCCCCAAAGGCCCCCAAGAGGCCCAAGGAGGCCCACAAGATGCCTCCAAGAGGCTCCCAGGAAGCTCCCAGGAGGCCCCAAGAGTGCCCCCAGAGGCTCCCAAGATGCCCCCTCCTCCTCCTCTTCCTCCTCCTCCTCCCCCTCCTCCTCGTCCTCCTCCTCCTCCTGATCTTCCCAGCCATCCTCCCCCAAGTGTTCCCCGAAGGGTTTCCACAACGGCTGGGAGAACACATGGTCCGACAGCTTCGCAGAACTCTTGCCACAACGATCGGCCACATGGGCGATTCCAAAAGGCAGGGGGGCGGCGGCGGCGATTCGCTGTGGGCGTTTTCGATAGAATGTGGGAAGGAGGGAATGTGGGAAGGGTGTGAACTCCAGCCCGCTCCAAAACTCAAAATTTGACCTCAAGGTCAGCCAGTAGATAAAAACGTACAAAAAATTGATGGTCTCAACCTCTGGGCTGCAGCTGTGAAACCCTCCAAAGGCCTCGTCCTTCTGATCACTACCGTTCTCCTGCCTCATCGCGCTTCCTCCCCCCATCCCCCCCTTAGCGGGGCGCACAAGGGGGTAGGGCGAGGGTTCAAGGCTTCTCCGAAGGAGGCTGCTTCTTAGAAGGCGCCAGCCCTACATGTGACGAACAAGGCCCGCGCCTTCTAAGCAGCAGAGGTGCTTACAAGAAGACTTCCCCATCCCCCGTACCCCCCTCTGCGCATGGCCGATCTCCCCTCCGCCCCCCCCTCTCCTCGCCCCCCCTCATTCTCCCCTCTGCCCCTTGCCGCCACGCCCTGGCCCACCCGATCTCCTCCCCTTCCCCGTGACCTCCCCTGCTCTCCCCGAAGAAGGGGGGGTGGGGAACTCTTACTAAGGAGCGCTGCCACACTAAGCTCAGGACAGAGTCGAGAACGAGCAAACAAAGTCGAAACCAACGAAGAAAGATGTATACGGCAGGTTCGCGCCGTGTCGTGTCGACGCCGGCGTTGGTTCCTGACACCGCGGGGATCGTTCACACTTGAACGATCGGCCCTTTCAAACAGGCGGGATCGTCCAAAGATGGGCCGATTCTGGGCCACAGGCGGCGTTCAACCTGAAACGCCCGCGCCGGGGTCGCCGGTCGACACGACGCGGACCCGCCAGAATGCCCAACTCGCACAGCCAACGCTGAGGGCGACGGGGCAAGCTGCTGAGAGGCGCTCCGCGGACAAGGCCCGGGAAGAAAAAAAAAACGGCGGGCCAGACCTGGCCCCCCTGACGTCGCCCCCCCCCCCTCCGTGAAGCTCCGGCACGGGGGGGGCGACGCTTCGCGCCACGCATGATGGCAGCGCAGTGGTCAACGAGTCCACCCTCAACGCTCAACGAAGTCACGAGCATGGCCGAACAAGACCGACCAACACCCATCGGCGTAACGGCCACAGGAGAGGGGGGGGAGGAGGTGGAGGTGGAGGCATGGGAGAGTGAGGAAGAGGAGGAGCGTGAGGATGAGGAGGAGGAGGAGGAGGAGGAGGAGGAGGGAGGAGGAGGAGGGAGGAGAGAGGAGGAGGAGGAGGAGGCGGAGGAGGAGGAGGGAGAAGAGAGGAGGATAAGGAGGAGGGAGAAGGAGGGAGGAGGAGGAGGAGGAGGAGAAGGAGGGCTTTCGCCAGGGCGCACTGAAATGGTGTTGGGATCAGAGAGGCTTTTACCTTTCAGGGGACCAGAGGTCCAGGGAAGGATTTTACTGGATCCTGCTTGAAACAGTTTATGGGGAACCCTCAACCCCTAGTCTTCACCGTATCCCCACCGACTTCCACTCCTTCGGAGCTGCTCCAACATCTCTGCCCGCTCCGTCTCCCTCATCATCATCGTCATCATCACCATCGTCATCATCATCATCATCATCATCATCATCATCATCATCATCATCGTCATCATCATCATCATCATCATCATCAGCATCAGCATCAGCATCAGCATCAGCATCAGCATCAGCATCATCATCATCATCATCATCATCATCATCATCATCATCATCTCCTCCTCATCATCCTCATCCTCATCCTCATCCTCATCCTCATCCTCCTCCTCCTCCTCCTCCTCCTCATCCTCATCATCATCATCATCATCATCATCCTCATCCTCATCCTCATCCTCATCCTCATCTCATCCTCATCCTCATCATCATCATCATCATCATCCTCATCCTCATCCTCATCCTCTCCTCATCCTGATCCTCCTCCTCTCCTCCTCCTCCTCATCATCATCATCATCGTCATCCTCATCCTCATCCTCATCCTCATCATCATCATCATCATCAACACATCATCAGCATCATCATCAGCATCAGCATCAGCATCATCATCATCATCATCATCATCGTCATCATCCTCATCCTCATCCTCATCCTCATCCTCATCCTCATCCTCCTCCTCCTCCTCCTCCTCCTCCTCCTCCTCATCATCATCATCATCATCATCATCATCATCATCATCATCATCATCGTCATCCTCATCCTCATCCTCATCATCATCATCATCATCATCATCGTCATCGTCATCATCCTTATCATCATCACCACCACCACCATCATCATCATCACCGTCATCATCATCACCATCACCATCACAATCACCATCATCATCACCATAACCAGCATCATCATGATCATCATCATCATCAGCAGCAGCAACATCATGATTACCATCATCAGAATCATCGTCAGTATCATCATCATAATCGTCGTCATCAGCATCATCGTGATCATCTTCATAGTTGTCCTCGCCATCGACATCGTTATCAGCATCATCATCAGCATCATCCTCATCAACATCAACATCAGCATCATCATCAGCAGCAGCATCAGAATCAGCATCATCTTCATCAGCATCAGCATCATCATCAGCAGCAAAATCATCATCAGCATCATCATTATCACCATCACAATCAACATCACCATCACCATCACCGTCACCATAAACACCATCATCATCATCACCAGCAGTAGCAGCAACATCATGATCATCATCACCAGAACCATCATCAGTAGTATCATCATCATCATCATCATCAGCAGCAGCAGCAGCATCGTCATGATCATCTTCATAGTTGTCCTCGTCATCGACATCCTTATCAGCATCATCATCAGCATCAGCAGCATCAACATCAACATCAGCATCATCATCAGCAGCAGCATCAGAATCAGCAACATCATCATCATCAGCAGCAGCAGCAAAATCATCATCAGCATCATCATCATCACCATCACCATCGCCACCACCACCACGACCACCACCATCACCACATCCGTCAGTATCGTCCTCATCCTCATCTCTATCCGCATCCTCATCCTCATCCTCATCAGCATAATCATTACCATCATCCTTATCCTCACCCTCATCATCATCATCATCATCATCATCATCATCATCATCATCATCATCACCATCACCATCACCATCATCATCATACTCATAATCATCCTCATCCTCATCCTCAGCATCATCATCATCATCATCATCATCATCATCATCATCATCATCATCATCATCACATCATCATCATCATCATCATCTTCATCTTCATCTTCATCTTCATCTTCATCTCCAGCGTCGTCCTCGTCATCGACATCGTTATCATCATCCGCAGCATCATCTGTATCATCAACAGCATCATCATCAGCAGCAGCAGCATCAGCATCAGTATCAGCATCATCATCAGCATCATCATCAACATCATCAGCAGCATTATCATCATCAGCATCATCATAATCATCAGAATCACCATCACCATCGCCACCACCAAGACCACCACCATCACCACCACCGTCATTATCATCCTCATCCTCATCGTCATCCTCATCATCAGCATCGTCATCATCATCATCATCATCATCATCATCATCATCATCATCATTAGCATCATCAACATCATCCTCATCAGTATCATCATCATCCTCATCCTCATCATCATCATTATCATCATCAGCATCATCAGCATCATCATCATCATCATCAGCATCCCCTGACGTGTTCCCCACTCTTTCCCACTTCCACTTCCAGCGTTATCAGCATTATCATGATAATCTTAATCTTCGTCCTCGTCATCGACATCGTTATCATCATCATCATCATCATCATCATCATCATCATCATCATCATCATCATCATCATCATCAGCATCAGCAGCAGCAGCATCCCCTGACGTGTTCCCCACTCTTTCCCACTTCCACTGCCTGCCCTCTGGTCTCCTCGTCTTTGTCCCACGCGCTCCCTACCTCTCACCCTGCTCCCCGCCGCTCTCCTGCCAGCTCGCTTTTCTCCGCCTGCTGTGCGGCGGTGGAGAGATCACGAGAGGGAGCTGTGGAGAATGAGCATCGTTTAACCGATCCCTATCCCGACGGGCGTGGCCTGGACCACTCTGGCCGATTTATCCCTCTAGAGATGGGGATAGAGCCTGCTCCATTCGAGTTTCGAGGGGCATCTCCCCAGCCGGGGTGGTGGGATGGTGGAGATCTGGACGGGGATGGAGAAGCGTATAGGGATCGGTTCAACGATGCTGAGCCAGGGTCCCGCCGATCGTCTCCGACCACGGCGGCACGAGGCTCAGACCTCGAGCTGAACCTGCAGGTCCTGCAGGGTCACGCACCCGGTCTGGCCGCCGCCGTGGCGGTCGTGCGCGTGCGCCGGGGGCGCTTCGGCGACGGCATCGTGGCCCTGCGAGCGGCGGGGGAAGAAATGAGAACCCGCAAAGCGAAACATTCGCCGATGGCACAGTCCCGAACTGAAGAAGAAAAGACGGCATCGACGAAAACTAGGCCAGGCATGTCCTCCTACGGGCCGATTCTGGACGAATACTTAAAAATTTCCGCGGAAACAAAATGAATGATACAAAAAGCATCTATTTACAAAAAATGTCCTCTGACCATATTTGTTTACTGCTTTTGAATGTTCCCCCTGTAGAGGGACAGACACAACTGAAAAATAAAAGTGTCGCGCTCCTCGCGGAGCGTCGAAAGTTTATGTTTACGGCGCTTCTTCTTCGACCATAAAGCCCGCGGCGTTCGACGTCTGGCCTGAGTCCACGTGCCCATCTGTCATCCAACGCACAGCGGACATCGCGCTGTGGTTGCAAGCGGCCCCGATGCAACGTCCGCGCCCAGAGAGAACGACGCGACTGCCGCTCCGACTGCTCAGCTGCGAGCTTTGTGCTCTACGCCGCGGACAGAGCATGCTGCCTGTCATGCCTTCATGCCTCCCTTTTTCCTTCCCTGCACCCTCTCCCTCGTCCTACCTCCCTGCTGCGTTAACTGCTCCGTGCCTCCATCGCCCTCATGTTTAAGGGATGGACTTATCATAATCCGCCGACCCCTAAGGGTCATCGGCGTGTGAGATACTTCCCCCTCCCCAAACCCCTCCCCCCGGGTCCCGGTCTGGTCGGTTTGGAGGAGGAGGGGGGTCTGGCTCGCCCCGGCTGAACGCGTCACGGGCCTCACGACGGGCCCACAAGATGGTACAAGAGGACCCCGAATCGCCGATGGATCTTTCCAAGACGCCCAAGATGGCCCCCATACGGCCCAAGAGGCCCCCGAGACGCCCCAAGAGGCCACCAAGACGCGTCCCAAGAGGGCCCCCAGAAGCAAAAATCGTCAAATTCCCTTGGGGAAACGTATGATTTTAGCACATTCGCCTCTTGGGTTTCCACAACGTCCAAGACGGCCAAAGAGGCCTCCAAGATCGCCCCAAGACGGCCCAGGAATCCCACAAGAAGGCTCCAAGACGGCCCAAGAGGGGCCCAAGACGGCCCAAGAGGCCCCCAAGACAGCTCCAGGAGGGGGCCCAGGCGGGCGACCCGAACGGAAATTTCGTGCCCTCGGCCCCAAGAAGCCTCAAGGAGGCCCAAGAGGCCCCCAAGAGGCCCCCAAGAGGCTCCAAGAGGCCCACCAGAGGCCCAGAAGAGGCCCCAAGAGGCCCCAAAACGGCCCCCATAAAGGCGTCAAGAGTGCTGCCAGGAGGACCCCAAGAGACCTACCAGGAGCCCCCCAAGGGGTCGGCGGTGCAGCGTAAGCCCAAGAATCATTTCGTGTCTGATCTTCGCGCCCGCACGCACACGAACAATCTGCTCTTCTCTGGCGCATAGAGTGCATCACTGTGTCCAAAAAAATGCTCGGCACATGTTACCCCCACTCTTTGCCATGACCTTGACCGCCTGCGGTTCGCGCGTCCAGAACGCATGCGAATGCATGCTTGCACACCCTTGGGCCTCACAGCTCAACCATACAAAAATAGGCAGCATGTGGTACCCAATCGTTTTGTACGATTTTGCCATGGAAACTACAGCTGGGCCGCTGTAATGCCAGAATATGACTGACAAGCGCGTCCGCTGGAGATAAGAATACAGCACCCTGACAACACATAAGCAAGTCACAAACTGCCAATGTTTTGTCTGGGTGCGACTTGCAAATGCGGAGGGGGGCACATTACATCACTCACACGATGGGGCGTACCCACATACACACCAATGTAGAGCAAGCAAGTGGATCAGGCACCAAAGCCGACAGTGAAACCCAGATGGTGGCCATTGAAGCATTGTATCGAAAATACGGCAGACGACCAGCAAAGAACACAACTGTACCGTGCGATCCCCCAGTGGGAGTGAACGACCTCGTCAACACAACGCGTCAACGGCGAGCGGGAACGCAGATATCCAGTGTTCAGAACGTGTCTAACACAAATTCAGTGTGCTGCCGTCCCAGAGGTACCACGACAGCGCCCACAACGACGGCCCTGAAAGCTTGCATACGTTAGGGGTGCTGGTCTGACCAACCGGTCCAAAAAAGAGGTTGGCTTAGCATGGCTTGGTTTGTTCAGCATGGCTTGTTGTGGTCAAGAAGAGGATGGTTTTGCACGGCTTGGGACCGACCCTGAAGGCGTCCGAATTGGGAAACCGGCGACGGTCCGAAGCCCCGCGGGAAGGCAAAGGGGAAAAGCAAAGCTGCACCAACGACGCAAGCCAGCCACCTCCTCCTCCTCCTCATCATCCTCCTCCTCCTCCTCCTCCTCCTCCTCCTCCCCTCCTCCTCCCCCTCCTCCTCCTCCTTCTCTCTCCTCC